TGGATGCATGTCTTAAAATCTCCAGTTATAGTCTAGTTTTCAGCTCACTGTTAACTCCAGTTCACAGTGAGCCTTAGGGAGGCATGTGAAAGCAGTGTGGAATGACTGGTTTGCACAGATTGTCTGACTCTGAATTCTCTGTGCAGAAATGCTCTATGACTGCCTTGCAATTTGTATCACTATATGAATACTCCTAGCCTACAGTTTCTCTAGCTTATTCAGGAAATAAATATAAATAATAATGCTGAGAAACTTGACATCTGTGCAACCATATGATCCATTTTGGTTTCTGACTGAGTAAATTGTTTCCAACTTATTGTCAGGCAGAGGAGTAGATTTGAGATATAGCAAAGTCAGAACTACAACCTTCACAAACACATTTCAGTTTCATCAATTTTCTTAAGCAACTTCCTAAATCTTGTATTCTACTCTGATCACAGCAACTTGAACAAGATCTAAAGCAAGCTAAAAAGCCAGAAAAGGATCCTACAAGGAGCCATAAGTATAGGCTCAATAGAAGTAATGTCAACTACGTCAGGATTTTGATAGAAATGTAGGAATTTAGTGCAGGAATATACCAATCAATCCCTGAAATCTACTCACCATTCAACAAAATCACTGTCAATAATTACCTGAATGGCATTTCTCCCATCAACCCCAAATCTCTTGATGTCATTATTATCAAGAAATCCGTCAAAATCCTGAACATACTCAATGACTGAGCTAGAATTTCAGAGATTCACCAGCATCTGAGTGAAGACATTCCTCCTCACTTCAGTCTTAAATGCTCTGTCCCTTATTCTGAGACTGTGACTTCTGGTTCTGGAAAACCCGGAGAGACATCCTTTCTGCATCTACCCTGCCAAGCCCTCTATGAATTTTGTAAGTTCATTTTTGATAGACAAGAAATGCTATATTAATAACCGATATCATTTCATTAAGGTAATAGTAGCCTTCATCTCCAATTGGACAGCTTCAGGTCAGCCCTAGGCTATACTGAAATTGCTAGCTTGTGATAGTTTCTTTTCAGATATTCCTCACATTTCATTTACTCCAATGACTTTCTAAAATGAAAGAGAAGCTCCATTTTTTATGTGTTTCTAAAATACCTTTAATAACATCTTCGTGGCAAAGTACCAATGAAGGTACCAAATGTGGACACTACACAATAAAATCCATTTTTATTTTCAGTCTTTCTGCTTATCCTAAGTTCAATACTTCATGTTGCGAATGAAAAATAAACTCTAACATATTGGCCAAAGAATTTTTTCTCTTTACATAGTTTACTTCCTGCTGGATAATATTCCTTGCTCAATGTCTCATAATTTTCCCCATTCCTCTCCACTACTCTTTGGTGCTGCAAACACAACTAATCTTCCTGCCCAAACAGCAACAACTGTACGTAAGACATGTAAACACTGGTTGGATTGATCAGAAATAGCGATTGATCAGGCTACCAGTAATCTGAATAGAGGGAAGGAAACAAGTCTACATGTGCTACATCACCTGAGGATCGTTAGTCTGACCAATGAGTATTAGTTGAAAAATTGCTTAAAATATTAGAACATTTTTCTCTATTATTATTCATTCTTGGGGTAGGTGTTGCTGACATGGCAGAATTTATTGCTCATTTCCTGTTGCCCTTGAGAAGGTGGTGAACTGTTTTCTTCAATGTCTACAATCCATATAATGCACATGTGCAGTCTGTTTTTGTGGTAACAGTTTCATACAACTGAGTGGCTGGCTACACTATTTAAGAGGGCAATTAAGAGTCAACTACTTCATTGTAGATCAAGAGTCATTTAGGACACATCAGGGGTGGCAGATTTCCTTCCCCGAGTGGCATTAGCAAACCAATTTTGATTTTTTAATAACAATCCAGCAGTTTTATGATGATTAGCAATAAGGCTAGTCTTTTATTTCAGATCAAATACAATTTCCCAGAACTGTTTTAGTGGAATTTGAATTTGTAACTTCAGAACTTGCATCTAGGCCTCTGAATTACCAGTCTAGTAACATTACCACTAAGCTATCATTGTCTGAGCATAGCAATTAAGAAAGCAAATATAGTGTTGAACTAAGGAAGCAAAAGAACTGCAAAATAGCAGGAAGTCTTTGTTAAATGACATTAAATTCTAGTCATACCACTTGGGTTCAATTGTTCTGATTCTGTTCTCTGAAACACAAGGAAGGCATTCAACCTCTGAAATGCTCCAGATAGAAATCTTGAGATTAGCAAGATAGATAGCTGATGAAAACAGGGAAAGACTTAAGGTTTTTAGCCTTGAAACTGGCTAAGTGAGAAATGTATAGGACAATACCAATTGGTAGTACATGGAATGAAAGAGACCCAGAACCCAAAGTCAAATTTAAAACAAAGCAAGGGACATGAGTTCAAAACTATGCTAATGCTAGAAGTTCCTTGTAAAGGAGGCCTCTGCAGTGGTGGAGACACAAATGTTGGAATAAGTTAAGGAATGCTTGAGGATTGGAGGAGAAAGGATGCTACTCATGCATCTATCACGTGATTTTGGAAACACTATGTGGGCCTCTTCGACCAGTGGTGACAGCTCTTGTCAGATCTACATTTTAGCAATCACCTCCAAGCTCACCTTATCAGCAGCTAATTCTTTTTTTGCTGCCTTAGGATATCCAGCTTCTCCCCAGGAGTCCTGGTTAGAAACAGAACTGTGCAATTACCCTGAGGCAGACACTTCCAATCAGTATAAAAGTTCTTCTCTGTAACATCAGCTCTCAAAGCACCATACTGTCCTCATGAACTCCCAGGAGTGACGCTATCAAGCAGTGTTCCCTGCAGTGTTTCTAGATCTAGTCCTTTGGAGCAAATTATCTTTCTGCAGCAGTTCCAAGGGCAAGTCTCAAGAGCACATAAATCAATCACTATGATCCTCCCAAACATCATTAAAAGCCACACTGACAGAATCAAACCTAGTTTATCTGATCTATCGGAAATACACTTTTTTTTCAGATTGCAGATGAACAGGTTATGTATCAGCAACAAAAATTGGTGAAACAGGCTAAAATAATATTAATATTATTAATTCCTTTCAAAAATCTCAGTTTTGGTTTAAACGTTTAAACTACTATTTCACACAGCTCAGCATTATTCATAATATTTAACTGAGCCAGGCTCTTTTCAAATCAGAGCTTAAAGTCATGATATTGTAAGTCCTTTACTAATGCACTGGTGGAACCGAGCATGTGTTAACTAACAGATACCACCACCAGCTAGTGATACATGTGCTCAAAGCTATAATATTATAAGTAATGGTATTTTAATGGTTTGGAGGACAGAGGTTTAACAGCTCAAAAGGGAGTTTGAAATTGGTCTCATGGTGGGCCATGTAAACTGTAAAATGGGCAATATAACCAAGGACAGAAATCAATGACACCCCCATATTTTTAATGTGATTCTTGTTCGAAGAAAGTCAAGGAACTGTTTGAGTGGAGGGATGCAATAAAACTTGAGTGTAGTTATTAGGATGGCACAGTGGCTCAGTGGTTAGCACTGCTGCCTCAGCACACCAGGAACCCAGGTTCAATTCCAGCCCTGGGCAATTATCTGTGTGGAGTTCGCACGTTCCCCGAATGTGTACCCCACTGCACCCCACCCCTCCCCCCCCACACCTGTCTGTTTGGGTTTGCTTCAGTTTCCTCCCACAACACCAAAGATGTGCAAGTTAGGTGGATTGGCCATATTAAATTGCCCATAGTGTCAAGGGATGTGGAGGCTAGGTGAATGAGCCATGGGAAATGCAGGATTACAGGGATGGGGTGTGGGTCTGGATGGGATGCTCTTTGGAGGGTCGGTGTGGACTTGATGGGCTGAATGGCCTGCTTCATCACTGCAGGGATTCCATGCTATTACTACAACTCATGATTTTACAAAGTGAAATAAGCCCCTAGAATCCCAGCATTATCTATGTGCTATATCACAAGGACAAACTGAATATGTTCATGAAATTATAATTTGTCACAGCAAGATCACTCCTTGACTATCCCTCATTCCACCAAACCAAACTTACCAAACCCCCAAAAAAACTGAATAGTTTATATACTCTCAAATGATATGTGATGGGTATATATGATTGCCAAAGACAGTCAGATAATCCTGGCACCTTTTTAAACTATAAGGCCATCGGGACAGGAGAGGGAGGAGGGGATGGTGGGGTGGTTGGCACCGATCTGAGTTTTCTGGATCCTGGGTTATATGTGAGTGATGGGGTGAAGGAGGCTGCAGGGTGGAGGTTATGAGGCTTGGTAAAAACGGTGAGGGTGGCTCTTGCAGGCACTCCTTCGGTATCTGATACCAGGTCCTTTGATCAAGCACAGAGTGCGTGTGACTGTAGGATCACCACCCCAATCCCACCACCCCTGGAGCCTACAAGAAACACTGCACGTTTGCTTGTCACATTTTCTGCGTGGCAACACCATTGCTTGTTGTTGAATTAACACCACTGAAGGAAGGGTAAGGATCTTAAATACCCACTTAAGGGACTCAGTTGGTGGTGGAACCGGAATGCATGGAGATTCTTACAATGGACTTAATTGAGCTAGAGATGGGAAGGTGGTGAGGTCCTAACTCACTACCTGCCTGCCCGATTAAATACTCACTGCTACCCGCCTCACCACAGGTGGCCATGAAATTTTACCCAGTGTTTCAGGATCGTGGCTCTTCAGCAGAAAGATGATGAAAGGCCACATTCCTGAAATGTTCATCGATGCTCTCTCCATGGATGTTGCTGGACCTAATGAGAATTTCCTGCAAAGTCTTAAAACAGATCAGGGAAAGGAACCATTTCTTTTGTCTATACTGAATTGGAATAAACATTTTCAGAGGTAAAGAAATAGTACTCTGCCAATTACCCTTCAGTACCTTCATAGATTAATAAAGAATAGTGGAAATTCAATGCAACCTGTATTTAGTTTTCACAATTGTCTTGGTTTACTGTCTACTGTTAATGCTTTCCTTTACTTACCCTAAGCTTTCTGACGCTTAGACAAGGATCATTAGAGAAGCTCTCAGTATCTGCAATTTGAATGTCTGCTTTCTCCAGCTCATTGGTCAGATCATTCCTCACCTGTCAGGACAGAAGAGAAAGAAAATATTGGTAATAACTTTATAAAGAACTGCATTATAATTGTATTATTAGATTTTCATACAGTACACACACTTACATTGATGTAATTGTACTTTCTCAAAATTCAAATGCCAACAGAAAGGTTAACAGGCCAGTGATGATTTTGAACAACTTTTATAAACTTCAGCCATATCTCTTCAGCTATTATCATATTCACCATCTGAATTGACATTATGTGTGCCATATCAGGGGAGAATTTGTCATCATGGAACAACATGAATATGTTTATTTCAGGCAGATTCTTGATTGTTGTTGGTTTTGTGAAGTTGGCTTAGCCTGGTCGGGTGACCTTCTTGAGTCAGGGCTTTAAAATGCATTTTAGTCCTGGAAAGATCTTTGGTACCAAATCAGATGATGCAAGTTGAACATTGATAGTCCATTTTTAACCAGTACCATGTCAGGTTTTCAAGGCCTACTCTACCTGCTTGCTGTCAGCTACAGACTCAGGCTACCATGTGGAAACAGTTCCACAATGATGTCTTGGCTGCTCAATTGATTTCTTTTTTCACCTTCAAGTTAAAAATGTGCATAGACGGCTTCTCCAACCTGGGTGCCCTCTCTCTCATTTTGCTAAAAAGGTTAGCTTCTACTCCTTCCAAGCTGGAAGGTCTCTGCAGCAGTTTTGAGAGCTGAGCTGCAATCCTTAACCAGATTATGAGACCTTTTTCAAACTATAATTGGACAAACCATGGAAAATCACAGCTGAGTGACTGTTTTCTCAAATGTAGAGCCTTCTACTGCACATTTGAGCCTAATGGCAGTGTTCTGAAGCCTGTGACACAAGTCGAGGCAGGCAATTAGATATAATTGCAAAGACTGCAATGTCAATCAGGCTCTTAATTGAAAACTATAAAGGCTAGTTTTGGGCAGACACAGAGTTTTAAGAAGCTGAAGTACTTTTTGGACTTATTTTGTTTGTTTTTTTTTGTGAAGTTTCCCAACTATCACATCTCTCTTTCAAAGAATTAAACATTAAACAGAATGATATTCATATCAGCATGGGAGTAAGTAGCACAGCTGTACTAAAGAAAACAATCTGGGTATGACCTTAAACCAGCAATTGTATCTATAAATATTGGATCCTTTGCCGAAGGATCACTTTAGCTCAGCATTAAAACCACATACCACAACTTTTCATACTTCTCTAAAATCTGGGTGCTTACTATTCTGTTTCAAATGAAGTCCAGATTAAATACTTTCAAATAATTCTACATGTATAAATACGTAGTGTTTGACAGGAATCAATGGAATCATGGAATATGCCTTACAAACTGGGTGAATTACTTTGCACTTTCCCAAATATGGGGAAATTTACCCAAGAATGGATGTTTACGGTGAGCACTTTATGACAATGCCAAGCCAGGAGGTGTATTAGTGCAACATCCTAAACATACCCTTTTCATATGTAAAATATTGCAATCATTATCATTTATACTGTGAGGTCAAGACTATGCACGTAACTGATCTCATGCATAAGCAGTTTGTTACTTTCATCTGTCACTGCACATGCATTCCACACATAGGGCAAGATCATATAGGAGTCAGAATGACGTGAGCTGTGGTGAGGTTTGTGACAGAATTGTGGAAGAATTCTGTCAAGGCCTAACTTGACATCTGGAGCATCCTGGGCCATCTTTTCTCGTTTTGACGGGTTTCTCACCGGGCAGCAGTGAGTGGCCAACTAAGACGGATTATAGCTGGTTAAAAAACTTTTTAATTCCACAACTTGTCTCATTAATATTCAACTTCCCATCTTATCAAATGCAATTAATAAGCTAGATGTTGAGAATTCTCAATATGCAAGTCAAGCGGGAACCTGGTGACTTCAGCTCACCACTTGCTCTAGAGGATATCTATGTTGGAAATCAGGCACTGACATCTCAAGGTGCGCTTCATTGGCATTGACCACATGCACCCCATGTCCACAGATATATGCACACCTCTAAGAATCCTCAAGGTACATCTTTGGTCCAAATACAGGAGCCATCTCCACTTCAATGCTGCGCTTTAGGCTGCATCAGCAACTTTTGTTGCAATGCTACAGCAAGGACACTGTGTGCTCAGGAGCATACACCCAAGACCTGAACTAGACCCAGGCTACATCTCTAGACAGTTCGCTTGCTCTCTTAGCACTCATTCACTCTGAGCCTATCTAGATTCAAACAGCATCCCTGCCTTGTGTGCTTTCACCCCTCAGCCAGAGATCCAGGCTATATTATTCTGTCTTGCCATGCTTTTTAGTACAGTCACAAAGCCAGGAAGCTGGCCACAGTTGTCACCAGGTTTTAGTCAAATCGAGGAGGGTAACCTTTGCTCAGAGGGTCCCATCACAGTAAGTTAAAGCAGCCTTTGATACTTCCATGCAGGGACTTGAATGTACTCAGTCAGCTGCTCTAGGCACTCAGAGTCAGAACTCTCTTCTCAGAGGGGGCAAGGAGCCCACCACCCATCTTAACTATTTTTGCCACACTGGGACTTGTTTTCCTCCTGAAATGAGAATGTGGCAGGCATTAAGGGAAAAGGAGGTGGGTGGCACAGCTGTTACTGTTGGTGCAACTGGGGAGGTGTGCCAAGTGAGTAAGCAGGCAGCAGAGGGCATGCAGGATTAGTGGTGTTGGGGACTGAGGTGGGCGAGTGTGAGTGAGGGAAGGTGTTGCAGGTATTAGTGAGCATGGTAGAATATAAGCCTTGGTGGAGTGTGGGTGAAGGGTACAGTAATGGAAATAGAGTGGTTGCGACATAGCAGGGAGCCCTTACGTTGGTGCAGTGTTACAGCATTAGGCATTCCTGCATATAGCTGAAACCTGCACTGATCCAGACGGTAATCTTCAACCAGGCTGCCATATCTGGCTTTGTGGTGTCTACTACTAGTCCTGGGAGAAGAGGAAGTCCTGCGTCTGTCCAGCAAGACTCAGCCCGCAAAGTGGGGCACAGCTTTCCCCTGTCAGCTAGGTCCAGGGCAAACTTCAGGAATTGTGCAGGGCAGCTCCTGACTGACAGTGCTTGCCCGGGTGCATAACAGGCTTTTAAAGATTATACAGGCACAAGGGATGTTGATTAAGCACAGGATGTCCCCTGAATGGGAAAATGGGGCTCGGCTCAGACGTGAAGAATGCCACATGGTACGGTGGGTAGTCAATAGGGTGCATTTGGTAAGATACAATGAGAAAACTCATTAGGCCTCACAACACAAACCCTCCAAAAACCCGGCACAACTCGGTCTTAGCCAATAAAGGTACAATTCAGATCACTGTTACTGTTCTATTTCTGTTGTAGGGCTGCTGTGGACATTGGGATATGACAGCTGATCTATGGTCAATGCACATGACAAGTTTACATAATCTTAATCATCCACCTTCATTGAAGCTTTTTCAATTGTGGGTACATGCCTGCATTTACAAATGTATATCTGGTCATTCATATCTACCCATAAGTCGAAAGAGACAGCTGCTATATGCATGTCTCCAGTTGCCACTTGTACTGACTCTTGTTGAGTTTGAAGGTTTGTACCCTGACTAGCTCAACAATACTTAACTCTGGCAATGGCAGTCTTATGAAAGCACTAAATTTAGCTCTCTACAATTTCACCTTGATTTTGTCATACATGCCTGATACTGGCTTCAGTAGCTTTCATGCCAATTGAAAGAATAGTTTTAGGTGCGGCCTGATACTGGTCTTTGTGCAAGACTACGTTCTATGCCTTCAGAGGTGCATTTGTTTACTTTCGCTTTGTCTTGTATACATTCATATTTGATATTTTCATGCTTCCTTTAGCGATTTTCACCACTGCCTCAGCTTTTCCATTTGGATGTATGACTTGATAGCATGGAGATGATATATGGCGTTGAATTTTCCAATTCTTTATGTTTTAGCTACATCTTTACTCACAAACTGAGGGCCATTGTCGCTCATCACAATATCTGAAATGTTGTGATGCTGAAAGCGTGCTTTCTGGCATTGTATAATCTGACCAGTAGTCATTGAAATCAGTTGTTTTATGTCCCAGTAGTCATGGGAGTAGTCTACTATGACAAGCTCCTGTGAAAATGAAGAGATCTACTCCTGGCTTCATTCACAACCTGTCTGGAATGTCATTAGTGATCACTGGTTCTTTAGGTTTGTTAATTTAGTACTTATTACATGTACTGCTCTTGATGTTGCAGCCCTTCATTTCATTGTTCATCTTTAGCTTGAAGAGCACTCACTTATCTTCCTCAGACAACTGAATTCCTCTTTAGCCTACATGGATGTACCTTAGCTTCTCTTCTCTCAACTCCTTTGAGATAATTCAGATTTGTTTTTTAATATATGGCATCTTTGGCCATCCATTCACCTCTTATTCCTAATATCCTCTTGTGAACACAGAAATGATTTTATTTTTTATGGATCACCCGATCATCACTACTTTTTGCAACACTTGGTGTGCTGCGTCTTTTTGAGCAGCTCTTTTAATTCACAAAGGTGCTTGTCTGCTAGGTTCAATGCTTCTGCTGAGTTAGTAACTTTCAGAGCATGTTGAGTTAGTGCTTCATGTTGGGTCTGGGAGATTGCATACTGTTTTGTAGTATTCTCTACTTCTTTTAATGGAGTATATTTTGAAGCAATTCAGCAATGAACATCTACTTCCCTTGCTTGTAAAACATGTCCTGATGATATCTCTGTCATCACAGTAATATTCTTTACAGATGTTTTGGAGCAGATGCAGAAGTTTCAGAAAAATGCTTTGATGCGGCTTGTGGCTGAACTCAACTGGCATTTTGATCCTTCCAAGCAGGCTTCAATGAAAATGCTCACAAGCAAAGGCAAATGACCAGGTCATTCCTCTGGACCTTGGTGTTGTGTTTTACAGTTTGCATTAACGTCCTGGTTGTAAATGCAATCAGTTGTCCTTGCTGCAGTAGGATTGCTTCAATTCCTATCTTACTGGTGTCACACTGCAG